GACACGGAGTGCATCGATGGTCAAGCAAAGTTAATTTTTCTTAGACAACTGCTCAGTTTCGTATCCTAATGTAAACAAAACAATTTCTCTAATAAGATTTCTTGAATATTCAGGCCCCGAAAAACTAATAAACATACTGTTTAATAAATAAACCATCTGTTGTTGCTATTTACGTAATAAATTTTGTTGAATGTTGGTCGTTTGATTTTGATATAGCAACAATATATTAACATGCATATAACAAACATCTAATGCCATTTTACATTTCTACCAATTTCCGGTCGGCCTCCTTATACTGAAATGCTTGTTTTGCAAAGAATTCCATAACTACAAAGGATAAATTTAAAATTTTAAAATAATTGATGATCTCAAAAAAATCGAAAGTACTTAAGTTAAAAAAACGAAAAAAAAAAAACAAAACAATCAGGCCTTCCTTGATGAATTTAATCTTAACATCAATAATCTGATTGGACAACTAGGAAGGATTAGTATAAAAAATAAGTATATCCTCGTCTGCAATTACATGCAATTGAACATGCAATAGAATTTGCCTACGAGATGGAAGAAAGCATTACTTTACCTTTCTTAGACATCATTTTACACCGAGTTGAGAGTAGCTTAAAACTTAGTCTCTACCGAAAATCAACTAATATAAATGTTATGGCCCAAGATTAGGACTGTACTGTACTGATGCGGCATTCACCCTGGGCGGATTGAGCCGGCTTCTTCCTGTTATGAGAAGAAGATTCTTGGGATAAATGTCCTGAATAACGTTTTTGCTTGCTGCGGATTCCCACAGACGCAGAGACAGGAACGACCAGAAGCCGCCGGTTACCGAAGCAGACGTTCTTGGATTTTCACCAGAGCCCTTGTTAGCCGGCGTGTGTGTGTGTGGCCCTACAAGAAACGAAGTTCCGGGCGGCATAGTCTGACACTACCGTTTACACCCCCCACACCGACTGTGAGGTAAATTGGACTTTGGGGGCTTACAGTACCAGGTGTTCCCCAAGCAGAACGGTCAAATCACGTTGAAACACCGGTTCTCGTATATTAAGCAGCGTAGAGCCAGGTCAGTTCTGGGGTCCGATAGGACCATGAAAGAACAACACGAAACACAACAGTAAAATAACAAAGAATTTTACACAAGAAATAATACAAAGAAGTTTAGTAAGACTGTCCGACTGCTATCAAATTCAATACCGTCCCAATACCGTTCTAATCCCGTCCGTCTCTCTTGAGAGGCGTAGTATATATATCGTTCGGAAGAGTTTATTCTGTCGGTTTATTACAATAAATGACCTAATGAATTTTTCCCATCATAACAACAAGACAAAATCCGAAATGATCATTGGATTCTATTTAAGAGCAGTCAGAATTTGCAGCCTTCAATATTTACACGAAGAGTAGAAATATATTGAAAAGAACATTCAATAGCCTATTTCATTTTCAATGCGAACGAAAAGGCTCATAAAATATTCCAAAATAGAAAAGCTGGCCTTCCTGTCAAACCTAACAAATCAAAATATATTTATTATTCTACGCATTAACGCAATCGCAACTACAGCCGAAAAGAATTTATCTTAAACAGAACATAAGATTTGTCACAACTACATCTAAAACAATAAAAGACTTAATAAATAGAAAACAAAACAAGCTAAAACTTGAGGGAGGAATTTATTCTATCAACACGAAGGATTGTTAGAATGAATATATAGAGGAAACCTCAAGAAATTTAAACAAAAGACTATATGAACACAAAAGGGGCATTTTAAAAAATAACACATAAAACGCATTGATTGTTCACCGTAACGAAACTGACTACAATTTTGACATAAAAAACGCTACTCTAATTAAAACAGAAAATAATTCACGAAGACGAAAATTTCTAGAAAATGTTTTAATCACTCGTTAAGCCATAGTAAATTAACGTCCAGGTTCTTACAACTCATCAACATTCTTTTTTTTTTCTTTTATCACAATGTGGAACCTTTTTTAAAAAAAGAACAATGATTGAAAGAAAAAGAAAATGAATATAAATGAATGTGGCTAAATTGCAAAAATTATTTTTAAATATTTTGAAACTATTAGCGTCTTTCGACGATGTGCATGTGTAGTCACAACAATGTCAAGAAACTCAATTCGATTAAGTCCTAACGAATGAAATGCATCACAAATAAACTTTTTCCATTTCGTCTTACAATTTCCTCAATACTGTCCTTGATATATAAAAATATATATCGTATAATCTTATATATATATATATATATATGTGTGTGTGTGTGTGTGTGTGTGTGTGTGTGTATAAAAAAAGAAAAGAACAGTAAGATATAAATCCGGTGTTCTTATAGGTATTTTTATTTTTACAAAATAGTGCTCAATATTTTTAATTAATGCTTTTAATTTAATTGCAAAATTAAATTCCTTTTAGCATTTTTGAAACTTGGTTAGAACCGTGTAGCAGAAAAACATATTTTAAATCAATTAATTTATAATATATATATATATATATATATATATATATATATATATGCACAAACATATATACGTTGTGTATGTGTGTGTGTAACTACAGCAAGTAAATTCTAGTTATCTATTGGGCACTTTACTTGATTACGATATAATTTTAATAAACAGTGTGTTATTATTTTATTACACACACACACACACACACACACACATATACTTTTAAAACAAAAGCATAATATTTTTTCTAAATAAATCCACATTACAACCAAAAACGTTTGCGGCAACTCTAATATACATACTTTTCTCTATATGGAACCACTACAACATATATTTTTTTATATATATATATATATATATATATATATATATATATATATATATTTGCAATGGATATAACCCTATACAGGGCGCGGGGGCCACTCGAGGTAGAGTGTGACAGAGTAAGAGGCTGTTTATGGGGATAGAAAAGTGAAAATAACGGTTAACCATAGATTTGAAAAAGGCGAGATTATAGTGATCGGGGAAATATCTTTTGGGAGTCGGTTCCACAGAGGAGTGGTTCGCAGGAAGAAGCTGTTCGAGTGGAACTTACATCTCCCCGATAGAATACGGAAGGCACGTGGGTGGTTTTGCTACAATGTAAGTGGTATGGTGGGCTCTAGCCATGATGGTTAGTCATAGCGGAACCAAGGAATGTAGTTCGTCCTAGGATTTCCCATTGAAATAGCGATAGAGCAGTGTGTGTGTGTGTGTGTGTGTGTGTGTGTGTGTGTGTGTGTGTGTGTGTGAGAGAGAGAGAGAGGGGGTTGATTGGTGGAAAATAATATATCGCCCACATTGACTCGGAGACGCTTTTGGACTCCATCTTGACTTGAGAGTATGGACTGGGCAGTTCCCTCCCAACAGGACGCCATTTTAGACCTGATCTGCCCCTTGTAAAGTTAGAGGATACCATCCGGAGTCAGGTATTTCCTAAAGAGCTACAGGGAACTGACTATCTTCACTACATCATTAGTGATGGATAGTATCTATAAGTTCCATTTGAAGCCAGGGGTAAGTTTAAAGGTCCAATAGTATCCCAAAGCAAAAACCCTTTCCTCGGGGATGCCCCCTTCATTATGACTGTTTGCAGTTCGGGGGGGGGCGATCGCCGATGATGGAATGTAGCTAGTTTGGTTTTCGGAGCAGTGAATGTAACCAGCCAATTTTTCCTCCACTGAAATATTGGAGTTAAATCAGAGGAGAAATTAGCTGCCAATCTCTGATCATCACAAGTTTTGAAGGTGCACCTGTATATTGGTATCATCGGCATAGGTATTCACTAATTATCTGAGTACACTCTTAGGCCGATCATTTATGTAACGTAAAAAGAGGGTTTTGTTCGAGAAATAACCACTGGGGGCGCCTGTATTGATTGCTAGGGCCCGGAAGACTGGCCTTTCACAACGACCTTCGAGAACGTACCTGTTAGGAAGGACTTTATAACTGAGTAGCCTCTCCAATGATTCTATAGCTGGAGAGCATCAACAGTAAACCTTTGTGCCACACGCTGTCAAAGGCCTTTGAAATATCTAATGCTATGGTCCTTGAGATTTGTTGCTAAGAGCCTCACTGATTCTGTGAGTAATACTAGTCAGGATTATCGGCAGTGGATCGAATCTCGTACTGCTTGTCGTTCAAGAGACTGTTCTTATCTAGGTCCCCAAAAACCTTCTTGTTTATAGCGTCAAAAAGTTACTAATGATACTGAGAAGATGATGCATTTTCATTTATTCATTTGACTGATTTCATTGCTATTCACGAAAGGCCTAAAAAAACGCTTTGGAAAATAATACTTCTTATGCAAACGTTCAATATTAGAGAATTATTACTAAACAAGTCAATTTTTATCCTTTTCCAAACGTATAAGATGGTTTCTCTTATTAATAAAAGACCCTGTGATATATTTCCTGTGAATGGAAAAATATTTAATTAAACGCATAGTTTTACGACTTGCTAATTCGCCGTTCTATCTCCTGGTGGTTCGCCATTGGCCTTGTCTCTCCTTCGTTTCAGAAACACAGTTTCACTCTTGTCCGATTTGTGAAGGTCCAAAGCACTAGTTTACAATTTCACAGATTGAATTGAACATTTTTTTACACTAACCACGCAACTGTGTATGCGTTACTATAGCTTAAAAGGTCATGAGTCTCATTTTTTCCCTATCTGAAAGACCATAAAGACACACCGAGAACGCTATTCATCGTCTTTTTCAGGAAAACAAACTCAAAGAAAGTACTGTCTTAATTCGAATAATTTATAATACAACTTCGGTAATAATGAATCTGAAATGTAGTAAATCCTCCCCTCTAACAGCTTTTAACTGCCTATGTAGTAGTCTCACAAAGCTGTTACCTCCATTATTAACCTTGAGTTGTGTAGCAGTCAAGTCGGTATTTGTTTTTTGTTTGTTTGTTTTTTTTTCTCTTTATGTATCTATTCTCGTATTGACAAATGTTTGGGGCCAAGTGTGACTTGGCTCTAGGCTGGTGATTTTAAGTGCTCATTGTTGATTCCGGGCAGTGCCCAGAGAACGGATGATAAATCGGCGCGAAAAACGAAAGATGGCGTCCGGAATTGGAGGTCAGGAAACGCAAAAGAAGAAAAATATATGAAATAGATGTTCGAAGGTGAAGAAGAAGAAGAAGAAGAAGAAGAAGAAGAAGAAGAAGAAGAAGAAGAAGGGGGAGAAGAAGAAAGAAGGTGTTAAATGAAGTGGTAGAGTGGTTTATTGAGAGAAAGAGCTAGAAATTTGGCAAACAAGAGCAATCGGGAAAGAAGAGTGGTAATAAAAAGACAGAGATATAATCTTATGTATGGAAATAAAAGGAAAGAAAAGAGAGGTAGAATGAAAGTTATTTGAAAGGGATGGTATGAGGAAGAAATTAATAGTAGTAGTTAGAGATAAACATAATGAAAGAGAGAGAGAGAGTTGTGTGAGGAACTATGGTAAATAGAAGAAAGTAGGAGTGAGGTAAGTAGGGAGGATTACTTGAGAGTGGTGGTATGCGTAATAGAATTGGTAAGAGTAGTAAGAGAGAAATGAAATGAAAGAGAAAGGGTAATGTAACTTAAAGAGAGTCGGAGGAAGGCCTGTATAGAAGATTACTGTAAATGGTGGTATGGAGAATGATTTGGTTTGGGAGTTGCAAAAAGAATTGAAGTGAAAAGATAGGGAGAGAGTTTATAAACTTAAGAGCGTTACTTAAATAAACTGGTCTACTCATAAAAAATAAGGAAACCTTTTTAGGCTACTACTTTTTGTTGATTAGCATACTCAACCTTAGGCTGCAGCATCGAAAAATATCGAAAAATATTTATTTTTTATCGATTTACAAGGCGGGAGGTTCTGTTTACAATATTGATCCATTGTCAAATCGGTACCTGAGTTTTACAAAACGGACAGACATTTTTTTGAGGCGGCGTTACAGAAATATTTCTCTTAAATAACAAACAAACGGATATTTCTTTGTTACTATGAACATTATTTTTAGTGGGTACACTTATTTGAGTTGCTATCCCTTTATTTATTTATTTTTTGCTTTTTTAAACAGTGAAATTAATGATAACCTGTCTAAAATGACAAACGAATAATTAACTAAAGAACAAAAATTTACGTAAGTAAATAAAATTATGTATCAACTTTTTCTTAATTTAAAATATATAATTATCAACTTCAAATGTACTTCTGCTTCTGAAAAAAATCCCTTACAAAAAAAAGGTTTTTTTAAAAATGTTTTTAAAAGTTTTAATAAAGGTTAATTTAAAAAATAAATAAATAAATATAAGCAGTATGCAGATAACAATGACATTAACACATTTTCAAATATGACATTTGTAAATAACTACAAAGTGACTTATTCAAAGGCCAGTAACTCTTCAAACTGTGTGTATGCATATGTGTGTGTGTGTGTGTGCGCGCGCGCACGCACGTGTACATGTACATACATCATTCTAATATTATTAATAATATAATCTAATATAATCTAATATTATCTTAGCCATGGGTGAAAAAAAGAAAAACTGTAGTATAATGTGCCAGTGATAGATATCAAATTTTATTCTTAATCAAATAAAACGCTTGAAAATATAAAGATATTTTCATTAGTTTGAAGCCACTGAGATATTTTTAAAATGTTTAACATATTTACAATACGAAGACGCACATTTGCGTCTTGTGGCATTTTGCATATGCATGATGCATGATGCATATGCCGCTGATGCACATATGCGACCATTCTCCGATTTTTATTTAAAGCAAGCGAGAATGAACAGTAACGGATCTTTCGTCAATCCATTTTTTTTTCACGGATTTATAAAGGTGTTTATTGGTTTTAAAAACAAAACATAAAGACAAAAAAGTGACATGGAACAACATTAATACATTAGCTTCGTTTTTATGATTTTTTAACAAAATAAAAACTAAAATTAAATTATTTATTATTTTTTAAATCATTTCACCCCAGTCAAGGCGATAATACTACTAAGAAGCAAAGGATGTTTTCTAGGAATGAAAGAGAATACAAAGACTTTAGTGAGGAGAAAGAACAATATAAGAACAGATTTCAGGAAGGCAGAAGATTATGATTGACGTTAGATCTAAATTTTTGAAGACTGTAGGCGGCAGAAAGCAAGAAATCGGAAGATAGTTCCACATGCGAGGAGTACGAGAGAAGAAACTATAGAATAGAACTTGCGGTTGCATCTAGCTAATTCAGCAATAAAAGTCCTCGTAACCAATCTAGTAGTACTTTTAAATTGATGCGGTCGTGGTGCCAAGGGGGTGGGGAAGCGATATTTATTTCTGCTATGTACAGAAAATGTAGCACAGGGCCAGAAAGGGAAATGGGGAAAAAAAAGGAGGGTCTTCATCTCCCTTAACATTAAACTTAGCTAACCAGAAACACTGACCCAAACATCCCACAACATTCCTAACACCGAAACAACGCATTCATACTTACCTGTCTTACTACATTCACCATAATACCTCATTGTCTCTATGAAAATCCTAACTAGTCCTCCTGTGTAGAATTTATTATCTGTGGGAAGAAGAATAAAATAACAATTTTTAAATCTAAACCCCAATAAATATTTACAAAAATGGACAAACAATATATAAAAGAAATTAAACAAAATAGTGTCAATAATAAAGCAAAAAAAAAAAAAAAACAAATCCTTAACTATGGCAGAAACATCAGTTCACTGGACGAAATCAATGCGGGATTTTAATAATATAAGGACATTCATTTATCCCAAGCACTCACTCAACCACACACTATATACAAAAACAACAACAAATACGAAAATCACACCCGAAAAGAAAGACGACCCGCATCCACCAGAGAACTGACATCACTGACCACCTAACGAGAGGGGGAAAGCGATATTTATTCTGCTATGTACAGAAACATGGCACGAGGCCAAAATGCGGAATGGGGAAAAGGACTGTTTTCATCTGTCTTAAATTTAAACTTAGCTAGCTACAAACACTGACCCAAACATACAAACAATATTCCTTACACCAAAACAACACATTCTTACTTACTTTTCTTACTACATCCAACATGTCAATTGTCTCTATGAAAATCCTAACTAGTCCCCATATGTACAATTCAGTTTCTGTTTGAGGAAGGGGAATAAAAACAGCAATTAAAAACTAACCCCAATGTGTATTTACAATATGAATGCAATCTATCTACAAGAAACTAAACAAAACAATGTTAATAATAACCCCCACTCCGAAATATTTAAATGTGGCAGAAACATCAGTTGATTGGACGAAATCGATGCGGGATAATAATAGTATGAAACATTCATTCATCCCAAGCACAGACACGCACTCATTAAAACAAAACAAAAAATACGCGAAACGAATGGCGCCCCGCATCCACCAGAGAACTGACATCACTGACCACCTAACACGAGCAGGAGAACTTATTAGAACAATTGCCATAACAACATTTACAGAAATGACAGAGTTTTGCAGTTAATGTTGCTATCATAAATTCATGAATATAATTATAGAATTATTTAGATATCCAAGGTAGCTTTTAAATGTGAGAAAATTTATTAGTCATCGCTGGTATTAGCTATATATATATATATATATATATATATATATATATAAAAAAAAATTATAACATATTTATGTTATAATTTTTTTTAATATATATATATATATCAAAAAATATTTTAGTTTCAACACCCTCAGTGTCTTATCAAGTGATGATGTTGAATGTAAAATAAAAACCATTTATTTTACATTCAACATCATCACTTAATAAGACACCGAGGGTGTTGAAACAAAATGGCTATTTTTGTAGTGATTTTATAACATAATTATGTTATAAATTTTTTTTTTTTTAAATGAATAATTATATCTGCTCTAGTTTGTATTGAGCACTCTTTTAAGAATAGAATTTGTTGGTTATTGGAATTCATTCCATATACACCAATCATATACTTGGGTATATATATATATATATATATATCCATTTTCTGGCTAACTAGTTTTAGTAATTTAAACTTTGTTTCTCTTTCTAATCAGTTTCAGGTCTTATTTTTTTTTTTTTTTTTTAAGCGATTCACCCCAACCAAGCCACTAGGACGCAAGGGGTTACAGAAAATCTGGAGCAAGATCAGATAGGAGTGATAGAGGAAAGGATGAGGAGAAGGAGAGTGGATAGATCAAGGCAACTGGAGATGTCGATTGACATTACATTTGAATAGCTGGAGATTATAGCTCTCAGGAAAACTGGAATAGGGAAGGGAGTTCCACAGACGAGAGGTGTGAGATATGAAGCCATTGGAGTAGAAGAGACGGCTACATTTAGTAGTTTCGACAGTGAAAGGGTGAGAGCGGGATGCCAGCCTCGTAGGGCGCTTGAATTCATGTAGTCTGGGAACCAGCGAATGCATTTCCTCGGAGCAATTGCCATGAAAGTATTTGTAAAGCAGACAGAGAGAGGCGACAGCGCGTCTGTGAGAAAGTGACTGTAGACGAGATGCCAGAGCAGGGCCAATTATATTGCATATCCACCTCTGGAGCCTATCAAGAACAGAAGGGGCTCCAGACTATATATGGCAGCAATATTGCTGCAGGTTATTTAAAGTCAGAAAATAAATTTAGACTGTAAAAATGATTTTCTTTAGATAAACATAATTTTCTGTTAGATGTACCATAAATTAACCCGTAGCTGCTAGGAGGAGAGGTGGATTCATAGCTTCCCCATGGGTATTTGCGCGTAAGTAAATATAACGAATGCACATTCACTCTTACAACATCTAGTATTCTCAAGCGGTCACCCATTTAGTTATTGACAAGGCTCGATGTTGCTTAACTTTACGAAAACCGGTGTATCAAAGTGATATGACATTAGTTTTAGCATCAACATCACGAAGGCAACAGCATAAAATCTATTATTTATCTCCAGTCAAATTTCAGAAGTGTAAACCTACAATGTATGTATGTATAGCTGGTCACTCGTATTCGAGGATAGCCAATCCCTGTTGCAGACGCTTGCTCAGGCGTATTTGTGTTTATGCAACACCCACAGAGCCCATCTGTGGTTTATACTGCAACTACGCTGAGCAAACCTTAGTTACAGTTTCTGGGAAATGTAACTAGCGTGATCAACAATTTGAACAAGGCCAGTACGCTCAGGCCCTCGGCCACGATGACTTATGACAATTGATTATATATATATATATATATATATATATATATCAATTGTTTGTATATACATAATCGATTTGTTTGCATATATATATATATATATATATATATATATATATATATATATATATAAATCAATTGTTTGTATACATAATCGATTTGTTTGCATATATATATATATATATATATATATATATATATAAATAAATAGATTATACATAAATAATCAATTTCTTTTGTATATATATAATCAATTTGTATATATATATATAAAACAATTTGATTATATATATATATATATATATATATATATAAAAACAAATTTATGTTTATATATATATAATCAATTTGTATATATATATAATCAATTTGTATATATATATATATATATATATATATAAAACAAATAGATTATATATATATAATCAATTTTTGTATATATATATATATATATATAAAAGAAATTGATTATATATATATATATATACATATATAAACAATTTCTTTATATATATATATATATATATATATATATATATATATATAATTAGTTTGTGTATATATATATATAAATATATATACAGACACATATATATATATATGTATATATACACACATACAAACAATTTGATTATATATATATATATACATATATATATATACACATATCTTTCTATCTATATATATATATATATATATATATATATATATATATATATATATATAATCAATTTGTTTATACGTATTCATCTCCGTTCTGATCTATCGTATATGTTGATATATCTCAAGAAAGCTTGTTCACTTATTCTGATCATAGTGATCATGGCCGGTCTGTATCTTTCCAGCATTTTCCATCTGTTTATTTCGATGATTGTTCATATCTATCTCACGATGATCACATTTATCTATATCTGTTCACATCTGTGTATCTTAGTCTGTTTACATTCTTTTTATCTATGTACCTGTCTGTCTCGTAAGTTCGATCTACCAAAAGTGGAGCTGACCTGTGAGCTGTACCGGGTTGGGTCGGATGACCAGATGGCGTTGTGGGACGGAGGAAGCCATGGCGGTTTTCTCTGGACACTCGCCATTGGTGGCGTTTGGTGTAGGGACTGAGGAAAGCTAGACAGATGACTGATGGATAACGTTTGTATTGGGTCCAGTTCAAAAAGCTGTCAGTTTTTGAACTGAAAGTGTCCGGGAGCCGTGAAAGTCGGGATATGATCTATTGTATTGGCGTTGTATGCTCGGCCAATCCTTTAGACAGATTTCAGAAGCCAAATTGAAGGGACAAACGCCAAAGCTTTTACACAGCAATGGGAGCAGATACAAGACTACATACCTATAAAAACTTGTAAATATATATGTATGATGTATGTGATAATGAGCTGATATATATATATATATATATATATATATATATATATATATATATATATATGCGTCTATATCGATACATCTATGTATATAAATTGTATAAATTTGTACTTATACATATGTGTTCTCTTACGTGTTAGGCGGTGACGAATCTAAGCGTATGTATGGTCGATTACGTTGTCTCTGCATGTTAGTCCACACAACTCTTGCGCGTACAGGCACAGTACATATAGTTTGTCCTAATATATATATATATATATATATATATATATATATATATATATATATATATATATATATATATATTGGGTGCGATGGATAAATTGTCTAAATTACGCAAAAAGGAAAAAACACTGACATCTAATTTTATCAGATATATTTACCAAAATTACACACAAATATCTTGAAATACGAAAGACTTAATTTATTCAATGAAATCGCCATTGCTTTCGGCTACTAATAACATTATTGAATACTCCACTTGAATAATCTAGAGAATTAAAGCAATTTAAAAGTTTTAAAATCTGAAATTTGCATTGTACGAATACTTTTTTTTCACCCATTAACATGGATAAATGGGATTTATTTCTATTAAATCAAACTTTTTTTCTGTTTTCTATTAATATTTAGTTATTATGTATCTGTGTACAGTTAATTATATAAAAAGTATGTTTATTCGTTAGTTGGAAATACAATTAATTTAAAATTTGTATGTATAAGAATATTTTTACCCACTATATATATATATATATATATATATATATGTAATTATATAGTGGTGGGTTTACAGATGTGTTCTGGTCCGGTTCCTTGTACCACTGTGATAGTCCAAGGTAGAACCTATAAAGAAGAACTCGAACACAGGTATGGAATAACACAGATATATTACAAACAGGAATATATACAGAGAAGTAGAAAGTGTTAGTATGAACAATCAGGTTTAGTAGAGAGAACAATGTAGTCTCGACCAGTATCACTATTCCAATGTCTTGCAGTAATTGTCTGAACGCGACTCTGTTTCGGACTGCCTCTGACTCGACTCTTGACTCGACTTGAACAACTGACTCCTGACCCATTGCCTACTCCTGAGGCGGAGTATTTTTTTTTTTAAGCATTTCGTCCCGAGCAAGGCGTGAAGCCACTAGGATGCAGGGGGTTTGCGGAAGATTTGGAGCGAGAGCAGATAGGAGTGATAGAAGAATGGATGGGGAGAAGCATAGTGGGTAGATCAAGGTAAGTATGGAATAATCCATTATTATTACTATGGGTAAGATCCCATAACAAGATGTAAAAGAAAAGTTTTTAGCGGGATTTTCTAAAGAGGAAACATTTCTAAAATAATTTCATTCATTTGTGAGTAAGTCCTGAAATTTCCATTAAATTCCGACAATTATTTGATTTTCGCAAGAATTTCCAAATCAATGTGTTTTTCACTGCAAAATGGCGCTCAAATATCCCGTACCAATTCATGGTCACTCTTTGCTGCAAGAAAAACAATTTTTTGAATTTAAATTGAGGCGTTTCTAAAAAGAAATAAAAAAAATATAATGTAATAATGAAAAAAATCTTAATAAAAACATAAAGATTTTGACGGTAAACTTGATAATAAAATGTTTTTCTTAAATGTTCAGCATTTTTCATCTTGTTTTAGCAAAGTTTAAAGCATTTTAATGCCTTTCTTAAATTAATCTCAATGTAGTTAATACTATTTTTGTTTTTAAATATTTACAGTAACTTAGCTGGAGAAATCGTATATTTTAATCCGTTCCATAATTTTGGGGCACTAAAACACCCACCACATCCAAGATAGAGAGAGAGAGATGAACAGACTGAGATAGATAGATAGATAGATAGATAGATAGATAGATAGATAGATAGATAGATATGAAAAGACGAAGAGATAGATAGATAGATAGATAGATAGATAGATAGATAGATAGATAGATATGAACAGACTGAGATAGATAGATAGATAGATAGATAGATAGATAGATAGATAGATAGATAGATAGATCAACAGACTGAGATAGATAGATAGATAGATAGATAGATAGATAGATAGATAGATAGATAGATAGATATGAACAGACTGAGATAGATAGATAGATAGATAGATAGATAGATAAAACGCAGCGCATAACTTTTCAGGTGGGGTTAATTAGAAATAACTTCTGGTCGGATAACCCCTTCCGCTCAGACGTTCTCCGACTCAGGGTCTTCCCAAGCATCTAGATTTGACTCCCAAGTAGACTTGGCCGCTCAACCTTCATACTTAAAAAAAAACAATACTCTGGAAACCCGACTATAATGCTTCCCTACTACTATGTGTAGAGCGTCAACCGAACGTGATATTTACTGTTGCCCATCTTCATTCACCCAGACAAAACACGTACATGTTAAAGCCTTCAATCGATTAAGATGACAATTAAGATCTTAGGTTAAGGCATAAACCGTTTCCGCTTTTGTTTATCAACGTCCCGCTTTGTTCTTTTAGCTAAAGGCGTGTGGAACCCTAACACCCGGCTTTCTGACTTTCCCTATCTTTTTCTAAGCTTCTGCAAATGGCCGATTGTCATGTATTTTACATCTTTACTAATTCCTGAGGATTCACCGTGTATTGCTTTCCTTCTAACGATCTAAGAGCTTCACCATAACGGATCAACTGAACGTCCTTGTCTGTGTTCATCTTCCAACAACGTTTCTCCAGAACGAAACATTGAAAACCAGTTTCTGACTTGCCGATCAGTTATAACCATAATCACTACATATTTTTCTAGAGCTCCCCATGACGTTATTCCCTTTCTTGAACTCCGCTATTATTATATGACGTCAATGCACTTTCAATCGCTTGATAGGGTTAAGGAATGTATTCTTTAATTCACTGTGTACGCTGCCACTACCGTGTTAATGCAGTCCAAATTTATTTTGAACTGTCACGTACGATTATTAATTACGAGTATACATTCGTCATTACAATTCGTTCATATAAACGGAAATTACTTATGAATCAGCTATATATGCGGTTGATCTCGCAGGAGATCATGTGACAGCAAATCTCCTCATTACTCTAAATCTCTCCTCAATATTCTTGAGATAGATAGATAGATAGATAGATAGATAGATAGATAGATAGATAGTACGAAGAAAAATATACAGAAAAAACAAACAAAAATCTTAATATGCAATTATGCTGTATTAATGTTAATATAAAGTCAACGTCGGACGTTTCGGTCTATTTTAGACCATCATCAGGACATTTTCATTAAACATAATTAACATTAGAACATATAAAATTCAACATGAAAAGACGATGGACATAAGAGCACAACTAATCCAAACAGATAACTGAAATTTTTATATAAGATCAGCGTTCCGTTTAAATATGATCACGTCGTCACGTGGGCGATGTTGTGAAAACGTATTCGAAGATGATTTCCAAATATTAAAATATTAAAAAAAAAGGTCGATTGAACTATTTTATATAAACAGTTCAAGAAATCCCTTCCGTTGATATAGGAATACGCAGAGATCAATGTTCTTATATCTTCATACAAGCTTGAAGTCCTCCACGTTACGAAAATGATTTCAAAATATCAAACAGGCCCGATGGAACAATTTTAATAGTAGATAGATAGATAGATAGATAGATAGATAGATAGATAGATAGATAGGGATTTGAATGGTCATAGATAGATAGATAGATAGATAGATAGATAGATAATGGTACAGCCAGAATAATCTAATTGTTTCTCGAATATTCATTTCTTCAAATGTGATTTGTTATTCAGTCTAGATCGAATTTCAATCGTTTTCACAGTTCATGGTGAATCACCATTCCTCACCAGTCAATTCTATTCTTAATAAAGGCTAACATTAACAGTTTAAGCTACTCAGTATCCTTGGTGATAGACCAATACATCCAGTCAGTGGCCACCTCCATTATCATCTAAGTTCAAGGACTATATAAGCAATGTTCCAAGTGTTGTTCGTCAGAGTTCATGTACAAAGATTCACCGGGGTCGAGTCCAAATGCCAGCAAAAGGTTACGACAACTGTTGTTAAAAGTGATGTTTACAGGTGAAACAGAAACACTGCGGTATAAGTAAATCGAGATGCTATGTTTGGGAAAAGGTAATAAATAATAAAGACTAGAAGTGCATATACATTCTAATAGATAGATAGATAGATAGATAGATAGATAGATAGATAGATAGATAGATAGATAGATAGATAATGACCAGACTGCGGTAGACAGATATGTATAGACTCATAAAATAAATGTACATACTAATAGATAAATAGGTAGACTGATAGATAGATAGATAGATAGATAGATAGATAGATAGATAGATAGATAATGAACAGACATAGATAGATAGATAGATAGATAGACAAACTCATCGATAGCTAGATAAATAGATAAATAATGAACAGACTGATAGATAGATAGATAGATAGATAGATAGATAGATAGATAGATAATGAACTCGCTTATAGATAGATAGATAGATAGATAGATAGATAGATAGATAGATAGACAGACAGACAGACAGACCAGGCAGAGATAGATAGATAGATAGATAGATAGATAGATAGATAATGAACAAACTGATAGATAGATAGATAGATAGATAGATAGATAGATAGATAGATAATGAACTCGCTTATAGATAGATAGATAGCTAGACAGACCAGGCAGAGATAGATAGATAGATAGATAGATAGATAGATAGATAGATAGATAGATAGATAGATAGATGCGTGGATCAATAAGTCCGGGTCTTGGCACAGTTAAATAAGGAAATGTAGGATGAAAAGAAAGGAATCAATTGAAAAAAGAAACATCTCAATCTTTTTTCTTTTTCTTTTATGCAACTTTTTTTATTTCATCATCTCTTTCTTTATTCGTTTAATTTGTATATAAACTTTTTATCACCCTCCCTTTCTTCAAATTCGAAAAAAAAAATTAATCGTTGCTGATATTAAATGTTCTCAGTTGCTAAATGATAGATAGCCCCTCCGACCGTTCATTTCAAATTCATATATTTTACATTTCATTTTACGTGTATTGAAAGATGAACAACGTGCAAAAATGAATCTTCTTTCTTCTCTGGAATCTCCTAATGAGATATTGGAAACAAAAGGAAATAATCAAGGGAATACCTTTGGAGAAACTAACATAGCGTTTGTGTTCGAGATAAATCACTTTTGTCTTATCTTCTGACAAAATGACTGACAGTGGCATTTTAATAGATTACTAAAGTGTTGCCTCGTCTTCGATTTTAAACCAGGGCAAATGTACTCTTAGGTTTTCTTGGAAATTTGTTTTTTTTTTTTTTTCGTTAATAGCTTCCTTCTTTTTATTCTGTCTTCATCATCATCATCATCTGTCCATTCTTTCTTTCTTTCTTTCTTTCTTTCTTTCTTTCTTTCTTTCTTTCTTTCTTCTGATCTGTTGTTTTTATTGTCTTTCTTTCTCCGTCGAGAGCTTTTTCCCCCCATCTGATTTTCTCTCTTTCTTTATTTTAATTTTATTCACATTTTCTTTCTTTTTTTTTTCTTCATCCGGATATTTTGCTCCGTATCCATGTGGCTTACGGCTACATCACGTCGAAACAGTGGTTCTAGAGTTAAGCAACGTCGAGTCTGGTCAGTATATCCAAAAGGGTGATCACTCTAGATACTGACCAGATTATACGCTTGGAAGTACCAGTTAGTATAAGCTTGGATGTGCGGGTGGTGTAATAGATAACGCTAAGGTATTTGGCAGTCGGAAAGCCGTGTTCCAATTCCAGTCACGTTTGTTATATTCACTTACGAGGTATGAATCCACCTAATTAGTAGAACTTGTATCAGGAAATCATTATTATCTCCAAAAAATTCTTACAATCTAAAAATATTTTCTGTTTTCATATAACATGCAAGAGGTTGATAAGCCGTAAAAAATATCAATCAAAAACAATTCTTTATCTACTTTCTCTGTGTTCTTTCTCTTTTCCCCCTCCACTTTTTCAGTACGTCCTTCCATCATTACTTTTATTATCATCATGATCCTTCTTCTTCTTCTTCTTCTTCTTCTTCTTCTTCATCATCATCATCATCATCATCATGGTTATAGGCGGTGAATAATAATAATATTATTATTATTATTATTGATAATAATAATAATAATAATAATAATAATAATGGTTGGCGGAAAATAAAGAAGAAAGATCATAAAAAGTTGGGAAGAAAAAGATGGAAAGAAAGAGAAGAAAAAGTAAATTATAACGAAGAAGAGAGGAGGAGGAGGTTTAGGAAGAGATGAAGGGATAAAGTAGAAGAAGAAAGGTAAGAGGAGGAGAAGAATAAAAAAAAGTATTAGTAGAAAAAGAAGAAGAGGAAAAAGAAGAACGATTCTTCTTCTTCTTCTTCTTCTTCTTCTTCTTCTTCTTCTTCTTCTTCTTCTTCTTCAGGCTTACTCACTCCCCACTTCTATCCCCATTCCCCTTCCATTACTCTCTCGCGTTATTTCCTTTCCCACCAAACAATAGAAACTCAAGAGCGAAATATCGAAACGCCATCCTAGCCACCCCCACCCGCACAACCCCGGGGCATCTCATTCCTGGGTCTTCAAGTCTAACGTTTGGTACCCACGTGGGAAGAAGAAGTAAATGCTCATTTTCTTTACATGTTTCCCCCCTTTCATCTGCACCTTCTCAAATTCTTCTTCTTCTTCTTCACGTGACATGTTTTTCCTAATTCTCCTATTTTACAACCTCTTTACACAGGTGGAATACAAAAATATACAAACTAACATGTCAGGTAAGGTGAAAATGCTAGTAAAGTTTATTACTGTCTGCCGAGGAAAACAATAACATTGCCCAATACACAGTCGTATAAACATACGGTATAGCATAACATACTTGTAGTTAAGTTTTCTTCTTTTTTATTCCACTTCCCCTCACGATTTGTGTGATCAAAACTATCTCCAACTCCGTATATCTGCAATATTTCTCCATTTTCAATCGGCCCCTGTTCATACTCGACCGTCCATTTATTAGGCATGTCCAGTCGTCTGCCAGTCCGCCTTCTCCTTATAATCTTCACTTCCGTTTACTTCCTATGACATTCATACCACTCACGTCATTTAGTAACC